GTGGCACACACCTATAATCCCAGCACTTGGGAGGCTGAGGTAGGAGGACTGCCCTGAGTTCAAGGCCAGCCTAGGCTACATAGTGAATTCAAGGCTACCCTGAATTTCAGAGCGAGACCCTGTCTCAAAAAACAAAACAAAACAAAAAAAATCTTACAGCAATATTCATTTCATTTTTCCCTTCCTATCTTGCTGTTGTCACATACTAGTAACTATACTATTGAGCACCCAGCTAATCTAACCTGTCTCTCTTTTTTTTGTAATAAGGAGTAGATATTCTGCCAGGCACAGTGGTGCATGCCCATAATCCCAGCACTTGAGGAGGCTATTGCAAGTTCAAGTACCACCTCGCCAACTTAGCAAGACCTTGTCTCAAAAAAAGGTCTAGGGGCTGGGGATATAGTTCAGTGGTACAGCGCCTGTCTGGCAACCTCAAGGCCCTAAGTTCAATTCCCAGTACCAAAAAAAATTAAAAAATAGGTCTAGGGATGTAGATGTAGCTCAGTGGTAGGGTAACCCTGGATTCGACTCTCAGTGACACACACACACACACACACACACACACACACACAAAATAGACATTCTGCAAGGATTAATGTACAGAAAGTCCTAACTACAGTTCCTGTATGTGACAGTTGTTAACTCTCAAAGAGTAACTGTTATGATCATTAATACAGAAGAGTTTAACTGATCCAAAGTGAAGGAACAGAAAGATATACATACTGGAAGATAGAAACCTAAGTGATCTACACTCATACAAGGTTTAACATTTGCCACAAATGCCTCTAGGGCAACTCTACCTCAAAAGCAGCAATGAGACTGTACTCTACTGGACTGGCTGGCAAAGCTTGACTTCGAAGAGAATTTCAAGAATCTTTTGTCCTCTGATATATAATCCCTTTTATTTACCTACATTTAATTGAAGACATCTGTAAGTGGTGCCACACAAAATGTAATTCAGACTCAAAACTGTCAATAAAAATGTCTGTAAGGCAGAGCTCCGATATAAACCTAGCAGGGGAGTGCACGTCAGCAGCTACAGAGCCACACGAAATTAGGAATGGAATGGAAATATGTTGCCTGACCTGACGAGGTGATAAAAGCTCTTTTCCCATAAAGCTTAATGAGTGCTATTAGTCTTCCGCTTATAGGAATGTAAAAGGGTCAGCCCCACAGAGGGAAGTCACTGACTCTCCACACATGGTCCATTCAAATGACAACATATCAAATTACTGATGCAATTACTATAACCTGACAATTTCATTAGATTCATGTGGCAGTTAACTGTTTAAGGCTTACAACAAAGGGACATGGTTCATTCACAGGAGGTTTCTGGGACAAAGTTTAAAGTCAGCTGCATTTTCAACTGCAAGACTCACTTAGTTTATTGCACCAGAATTATTTTTCTTTTCAAAATTAGGAAAAGTATTGCGTATTTCCTAAATTTGTAATTTTCCTTCTCCAGCTAAAATATAAATTTAATGGCACATTTAAATATTCAGAGACTTCCAACATTCCACTGCCTTAGCTCTGAAGCACCGTGCGATGACCAAAGAATGGAATCTTGAGCTCAGTTGGTGCTGAAGAACTGGGGGTGGCTGCCACTCACTACGCTATCAGGCAGCCCCATGGAATTTCAAGTTAGAGAAGTATCAACGCACAGGACTCAAAGCATTTCACATCCCAAAGAAGAAAAGTACACTGGTCATATTTAATTCATTTTTCTCCTCCATATTTATAAGCCAAGTAATAAAACAGATCAACTTAGCCAAGGTAAAATACAACTTCAAATCATTCAGTAGAGAAAACTATTAGAAAATGATAGAAACTATCACTAAATTTTGATCATGATACTTTCCTTATTTTTCCCCAAAGATTAAAGGTTCCACATATATACTGCAACATTTAACAAGAGCAGTAAGACACAATTTAAAAATAAGATATTTAGGGCCGGGGATTTAGCTCAGTGGTTCCGCCACCTGTCCTGCAACTGCAAGGACCCGAGTTCGATGTCTGGTACCAAAAAATAAATAAATAAATAAATATAAGATATTTGCTTGTATATGTAGCAGGTACAGACCCAAGACCTATCTATAACTGAGAGTATTCAAAGATGAAACAGCAAAGCTCTCCATCCATCATAAGTAGCTACAATCTAAGTGGGAAGACAGAATGTTTAAATATATTAAAATATAAATATTAAACCCTGACTGTTGCTGGCTGAGTCCTGCCTAATTATCAATAAATGACTGCTACTCTCAGCCTGACCCCCACTAAGAGCATTTATTAATTTGTTCATTCATTCGTTCAACAAATATTTATTAAATCAGTGCCTGCTATGTACTACTTATTACACTAAGAATGGAAACACAAGGAAACAAGAAAAACAGAGCCCTCTCTCAGTGAGTTTACATTAGAAAGAATTCTACTGGTGAGCTCTACTTAGAAGTGCTTTGCAATTGGTTAGTAAATCAAATTGTTACTTACTTGCTCATCAAGTAGAAAACCAGCTCCCACCTTGTTACTGACTCCTTGTGCAGGGAGGCCAACTCACTGTAACTGCCTTCTGCTAAGAACCCTTATTTTTTGTTACACTAAGCTCTTGTTGAAGTTGTTTGACATCCACAAACAATGATTTGAACAACTATTAACAAAAACTAGCAAGGCACCTCTATCCACTGTGGGTCTTTTATTCAGAGTAAAACAATTTCAACATTTTGTAATTGATACTAACATTTTGGGTACCTCCTTCCAAACTAATTTATGAGCATTTGTCTTTAAATTGAGATTTCCTGTACAATTTTGTATCTTACTCTTATCTCTTAATATAGCAAAGACATTTTACATTTATTCACTAATACATACTCAAGAACATGCATTCGTCATTTCCATTTAAATGGGTATAGAGTGTTCTATCATATGGCTTGGTAAGGATTTCTTTGCCCATTTACTACTGTTAGATATTTAGGTTCTTTACACTTTTTTACCTTTATAAATAATGCTGTAATAAACACTGTTATGCAAGTATTGTCTCTGCCTTTGATTATCTCTCTGGCAGTGGTTCTTAGAACAGAATTACTCAACCACAAGGTATGAATGTATACAAAGCCTTTAATGTATATGAGAAAACAGCCTGCTTTTATAAAGGGTGTTTTATAAATATCCCATTTCATCACATCTTCTCACTTAAAAAACACCTTGATAGGTAACAGATTATATATCACTACTGTTTTAAACTATTTCTTTGATTACTAATGGGGTTAAACTTTTAAAACATACTGATCACCTGTTTTTTTTTTTGTACCAGGGATCGAACTCGGGACCTTGCGCTTGCAAGACAGGCAGCAGCACCACTGAGCTACATCCCCAGTCCATCCTCTTATATTTTATTTCATCAACTACTTGATAAAATTCAACCAACTTTTGTGTAAAAGAAGTAGTATTTTTTAGTGATTCTGAAAGGTCATTACATTCAATATAATAAGACTTTTACCATACTTTCCCAAGCTGCCTTTTAACAACATTTATTTACATGTACAAAACTGTGTATATTTACATAATCAAATTAACTTTTTTCATCCTTTCTTCTGTAAACTTCCCTCTGCTTCTACAGTTAAAAAGGAGTCTTTAACTAAAGAGCAAATTATAAAATTTATAGTCTTCAAGTTTCTACTGGGTTGGTTTCTTCTGGGTTGGTTTTGCTTTACACCTCTTACTTAAACTTCTATTTTTTTAGGCACTGTTTCTAATGTTTGCTATAAATAACTTCATTTAATTTTAATAACCTTGTAAGTATTATCTCTGTTTTTAGATTAGAAAACAGCAGTTCAGAAGGATTAAATAACTTGCACATGAGCCATCCAAGTTTCTCTTATCTCAAAACCTAGAATCTTTTCACAGTAAGTATCATTTTGCTTTCCCCTTGACACTAGATGATTAGAAAATGTGACCAAACCCGGATGGTACCAGCCTCTCTGGTCTTGTCTGTTTCACCTGGTGATCGCGCTCTATCTGGCCAACAATAGTTTCAATAATTAAATGAACACAAGGTTATAAAAGCATAAAAAGGAACTGCCTACACGTGGAGAGGTTAAGGATGTGCTCACAAGGGACATAATACTGAGCTTAACCCTAAGGAGGAGCATGATTTGAACTAGGTGGGAATGGGGAAATGGAGCTGAAAGTGAAATAAACGAGAGATCCAAGGGGAAGAACAAGTGAAAGGTAAGCAAGAAACAGTGAGAGCATATATTACAGGGTCTCAGTAGCACAGTTTATACTCACTTCCATTTCTACTCTCAACTGAGAGGTAGGAATTATTGCTTGAATTTTAAAGGTAAGAAAACTAAGTCTCAGGGAAGTTGTGATTTGCTCAGTGTCACAAGGCTAGTAAGTGGCAACACACTCTTAAACTCAAGGTTGGTTCCAGTCCAATGTTTCACTGTTTCTTCCCCTTCTCTGCTGCTTCTCCCCACTCTTGCCAGTTATCTACAAGTCCTTCTCCAATCGCAGCTCACAGTGACATCTCATTCTGTAACCATTTTTTTAATCGCACAATTTTATCACTCAATTTTTGGTTCTATATTGAAAATAAAGATGAGCATTAAATGGAAAAAGAATGAAGTGCCCAGAGCAGTGCCTGTGCTGTAACAGAAGCTCCTCCCGGATGACTTCATAGATTTTAAGATGGCCTCTCAAACCAAGTCAAAATTCCTTGTGACAGCTTTTACCTGTGATTTCTCCAGCTCTCTTTTAACATGAGCATAATTCATATAGTTAAACAAGTTATGGAAGTAACAGAAATACAACAGCCTTACTTCTAGAAAATTTTACCAAAAAAGACTTTGTTCATCCCACTGATGATATTGAAAAATACGTGTCAGTTCAAAATCATCACTCCTAAATTATCAAATGCAGAAATTATCAATGCTTAAGGAAAGAAATCAATAGTGATGCTTAATTAGCTATTCTAGTATTAAGGTCAATGAGTAAACTCTTACCTCCAAAGGTGAACTGCAAAGAAACCTTGTGAACTGCAGAGTCAAATTTGAAGGCAATCAATTTCATCCAGTAAATGAGCAGTAAAGGAGAACACACAGAAAAAAGGAAAAATTACTATACAATTTTCCAATAAGAGCACCTAAGTAAACCCAAAAGCCTCTATAAAATTAATGTTTTCATATATTATATTCATCCACAGATTATAGGAAGTTTCAACATAGCCCACAGTAGGTACCCAACTATTTCGTTTAAAGAAACATTCCTAAATATCTGTATAAAAGCAAATAAAGCACAATTAGTCATAATATAGGTATTTTTTAAAGTTTTGTCTTACAACCTTCATATCATAAAAACACCCTTTAAAGGAGGAATGAGCAATCTTGCTGATCCTAAGTGCCACAGGCAAACTTTAGTTAACAGCAAGGCAGGAAGGATATAAACCATAGAACCAAAAGAGGAGAGATACAAAAGTCATGACCAAGAGAGGAGAGTGAGAGAAAGGGAAGTTTTATCTCCACAATTTGGCACCTCTGCTCTGAGGTTTACCCTGATTTGCCTTTTCTCTTGTCTCAATCCCATTACCCTCCTTCCCCCTTTCTCTTCTTTTTCTCTTCCTCTTTCTCACTACCTCCCTTTAACTTTCTTTTCCTTTTTATAACAAACATACATGCTTAAAGAATACCACCTGTGTCTAAATATGATATGCTACCTGTCTCTCAGCATTTAAATAAAGAAACAAGGGTCGGGGCATGAACAAGTGACAAAGCAAACCATGGGTTCGCTCTGAAATGAGGATTGTCACGTAACTTCATATATGTACATGGTGGTAATTCACAATGTTTTCATAGATTTATTTCCAGAATTAACATTTCATACCCTTTGAGATCTACTTTAATAATAAAGTACCTAAGGTATATAAACTCTTCATCTTTCTAATCGAAAATTAACTACAATGAAATGCAACAATAGGCCTGCTGCCAAGCACTCTTAAAACTTCCTCTCCAAAACAAAGCTGGCTAGTATACACGAGAAATACAAATAACTGATATTCTCTTTTAGAGATACACACTGAAATATTTATCAATGAGATTATATGATGTCTGGTATTTCCTTCTAGATCACAGAAGGAAAGGTAGAGGGAAGTAATGAGGGGGTGTGTAAACAGAACAACACTATGATGCTAAACCACAGAGCAGAGGTGATAAATATAAGGGCTCATTATATGATTATCTCTACTTTGTGAATGTTTTAAGTTTTCCATATTTCAAAATATATCAAATGCACCCTCCCCTAAACTTAATAAATATACTTCCGAAAATATCACTAGTGCATGTTAAAGGTACAAAACTAACTGGTATCATCTAGGCCCTGGGTGACAGAGAGACTAAGATTTTTTTTCTTAAATAACAATATGCAATTCTATTAACAGTAAGAGAACTTTCTGAAAGTGCAAGACATACCAAAACACTAAGTTTTTATTATACTGGTATGAAACAAGAAATTTTACTGAAACTGAAAATGCAAGCTTTGTGGTCTTGAATTCTTCTGTGATAGCCTGATCTAAGACAATCAATCACTACCCTTCTTCCCAAGAGTAAAAAGAGCCCGCTGAAATACACACCAATTTAATAAGGAGAAAAATGAAGCACGGTGAATTTCTATGTTAAAACTAGGTACTTGATATTGTAGGGTTTCTATGCGTTATCTCCTATAAGTGCACTTTAACTATGCTACACCCATACTTTTGAATTTATAAGTAGCTCATGATCAGTGGCAACTGATGGATGAATTAAGACAGAAGTTACTTTAGATAACAAAAGAAAAGCGTATAAATATTGCCTAAGAAAATTAGTATCTCCTTGGAGTTCCAGTAATTTATATACATCTTTAGCATGTGTATGAGCAACATTTATGTTACAGCTTCTTCAAAACAGAGCAAAAAATTCTTGTCTTGTTTAATCTGCCAACTATGAAATACATAAAAAGTTTTCAATCCTGAAACAATAAATTACAAGCCTTGTATTCACACTACTCCAATGAAACAAAAAAGATTCCATGTTTCACTTTAGTTGGTTAGATGGATGGTCAATCTCTCATAATTATACCTATTATGTTCAGTACAAATGCTAATATCTTGAAAAGAACAATTATAAAAAATAAAAATGACTGCAAAATAAATTTTGTATATACACTGATACTGACAGCAAAGATAGATGTATGTTTTGCACTTGCAAGGCAGGCACAGTGCCACTGAGTTTAATCCCCAGCCCAAGATAGACGTTATTTTAAGTAACATTTCCAAGTTGTCTCCTCAGGGTAAGAATAGACTGTGTGAATGTTGCTGTGAAGGTGAAACTACTAAAAAAAAGAGGTTTATTTAAAAAAAAATGCTGAGCATGATGGCACATGCCTGTAAATCCAGCATTCAGGAGGCTGAGGCAGGAGGATTGCCACAAGTTTGGGGCAGCCTAGGATACACTGTTAAGTTCAAGGCCAGCCTAGATGCTTAGACTACATAGTTAAATCTTGTCTCAAAAGAAAAAAAAGAATATAGCCATAGTGAGTAGCTTTAAATACCTCAATACTGTTTAACATAGCTCTACTAATGTAGCTAAAAAATTAGGAAATCATGAAGTATAGTTTATAGAAAGCGTATTCCAGAATATTGAAAAAATAAAAATTTTAGCATGTTTTACAAAATATCTTACTGATTTTACCGACAGCGATATATTTCATCATTCCAGAAATAACTGGATGCAAACAGTCATATTCTTGTTCTACTCATTTTGAAGATTACTTCTTGACTTAATCTAATTGAAAATAGGATTAACCTGCCAGACATTTGGCTTTTCAAACTTAAAACAGGTTAATTTTCTGTGACAGTATTAATAACACTGTTAATGTGATTCATTTGATAAAGCTTATTTTGAAAAAGAAAATAAGGATTAATGGTCTATGTTAGAGTCCATGAATAAAAGGTCTCAGTGCCAACTGTTAAATCCTTTAAGCCCCTAAAAAGAAAACAAGGAAACAAACAGATAACTCTCACACGCCACAGCCAGTGGTCGGCCTGCTCCTCTCCCAGCACATCTCACTTGCTACCCCCAGCACTCACTGTCTCTCCAGATCAGTGGTGGCTTAGCTCACACACCTGCTTGCAGCCTGCTGAGAAGCACTCAATACCACGGTTCTCTAAGAGCACAAAGTTGCTGCTGGACCTCCTCTCCACTACACTTAGTTAAGTTCTTTTTTTTTCCAAGACTTGTTACTAACCATGCAAATTTAGGGGAAGAGAAGCAGGAAGAATTGAGAAATAGACATTTCTAATTTTTTCAAAAGGCCCCAGTAAGACTATAATCAATTATTTTATCTTAGTAATATAAAATATTCAACAAATAAGCCATTACATTCCTGAAGGCCTTTTCTGTTTAACAAGGAACCATGGCTAAATTCCAATATTCAAAGAAAAGGGAAAAGACTGAATTGCAAAGGGGAATTTTTGTGAAGATAAACAACATTTTTAAATGTTTTTTCTAGGCTAGGTGTGGTGACACACGCCTGTACTCTCAGCACTTGTAAGGCTGAGGCAGGAGTTCAAGGCCAGCCTGGGCTACATAGACTCTTATCTCAAAAAAAAAAATGCTAAAAAAAATTATTTTTCTAGTCAGGCAAGCATAATGGCACCCATCTGTAATCCCAGCACTTGGGAAGCTGAAGCAGGAAGACTGCTGTGAGTTTGAGGCCAACCTGAACTACATAGTAAGACCCTGTCTCAAAAAAAAAAAAATTCTAAACCAAAGCACACCAAAGAGTTATCTCTATTTGTCAAAGTGGAATTTCAAGTCTGGCAACTGCTCGTATCAATTATCCAGAATTTTCTTGCATTAACAAAATACTTCTAATACTACAGACAAAACTAGTTATCACTTCAGTAACACTATGTTGGGCAAAAGAATTCAAATTGATAGCCCTGGATTCGTCCCTAGGAAAACACACACACACACACACACACACACACACACACACACACACACGAATTCAAATTGACCTTAAAAAATCTGGTGCCTTCTCAAACTCTGAATAATATAAACTGAGGATAAATAGAAAATACTATAAGACATGGAAATCAAAATAAGCAGGAAACCACGAGGCAAATTTTATTTATTTATTTATTTATCTATTTATTTTTATTTTTAATTTTTTTGGTACCGGGGATCAAACGAGATCTTGCGCTTGGTGAGGCAGGCAGCGGAACCACTGAGCTAAATCCCCAGCCTGGCAAAATTTATACTTAAAGTCAAATAAGAAATGGAATATATTGCCAGCAATGTGATTATTAAAAACTAAGGCTTGGGCTGGGGATTTAGCTCAGTGGTTTCGCCGCCTGCTGTGCAAGCGCAAGGACCCAAGTTCAATCCCCGGTACAAAAAAACAAAACAAAAACTAAGGCTTAATCATACTAACACAAACATGTTAATAATAGTTACATTTACTGCTCACATACAAGATTCCAAACAAGATCAAACACTCCCACATCATGATATATATATTTCCATTAACTTTCAACATTAGCATTTTAACATTTTCAACATTAATGTAACCCTACAAAAAGAAGCTTTAAAAGCATTTTAAAGTTCATTTTATTAATTAGATTAAGGACTATATCTTACTCATCTGTGTATCCTTCTACCACAGTGACAAGACCAGTGGTGGCAAACCTATGGCACAGTGCCATGGCCAGCTGTTTGTTATCACTGAAAGCTCTAAAAGGTTTGCCATCACTGGACTAGACCATGATATGAATTAAATGTTTATGTGACTGGTTGAATAGAATAATCACACTCTTCCACAGCCCAGGAAAAATAAACATGAAAGTTTTTCTAAGTATACTTGGAAGGATAGGAGGGTAATCATTCTAGAAGTTCAGAGCTATCTGTAGAATGATTATCACATAAAAGCCAACATATCTATGTTATTTACAGCCATATATATAAAGCCATAAAATATATATGGGAGAGAAACAATTTATATT